TACATCGAAGAGCCATGCTTACTGCTCCAGCACACAGCCATCAAGACTTGCTTAGAGTTGATAGAAACAGTGCTAAAAATATTCTGGGCTGCACAGGGTCCCAGCAGGAAAAAGATGGCACATTCAAACTGGGCAGTTGAAAGAGCTTAGTGAAGGGATTATTTATACAGGTTTGAGCAAGGGGCAGCACAGTACCTGGGAGCTGGTCACAGCCTGGAGCCCAGACCTGAAGGGTCAAAGGGAGGGACTGGTTACCAGAACCCAGAGACAGCAACTGTGGGGAGAGGACCAACTCACAGGAGTGGTGGCCTCCAGTAGAAGGAAACAGCTAATCCAAGATTCCCGTGGCCTATTGGTGCAGCCCATACAGGTCAGCCTCCTGGGGCACACACAGAAGAGTAGGGAATGGGGCTGTAGGGCAGATAATATCCTGCACAGTATCTAACAATTGGAGAATGGTTTAAAAAACAACAAGCCAACCAACCTTATGATACAGCAATACAACAGAATACTAAGCCTTTGAGAATGAAGATCTTGTTATGGACTGAATTATGTTCTCCCAAAATATGTGGGTTAGAATCCTAACCCCTATATCTGTGGATGTTGTCCTGTTTGGAAATAGGGTTTCCTTTGTCATGTTAATGAGGCCACAGCAGTGTAGGGTGTGTCCTAAACCTAACCACTTCTGAGTTATAAAAAGAGCAGATTAGACACAGATGCAGGCACACACAGGGGAAGACAGAGGGCATGTGAGGATCGTCTAAAAGCAAAGGAACCTCAAGAATCACCAGGAGACACCAGAAACTAGGAGAGAGGCTCACGGAAGGAATCAACATGGCCCAAATCCTGATTTGGACTTTTAGCCTCCAGCCTTTAGAACTCTAAAATTGAGAAAATAAATTTCTGTTCTTTAAAGCCACCCACTTGTGCTATTTGTGTTACAGCAGCATTAGCTAAGACAGATCTGGATGCAGATCTTATTGACACTGCCATGGTAAGATATCCACAATATGTAGAAATTAGGTAAGAAATGCAAATTATAAATCACTAAATATCTAAGACCCCCAAATTTGGATATACATCAAAATGTCAGCAGAGGTTAATTATGTGTAGAGGAATGTAGGTGACTTTCTCACTTCTTATCTACATATTTTTAAAGTATTACTTCTACAGGTTCTCAGCTTATAATTTCTACTATGCCTCAGAGATCACTAGTGCTTCGACTGGACTGGAGAACAGAGAAAATATCTCCTGAAGCTTGGATTTAGATCTTCTCTTAGGCTGTACTCTTTTAAAGGCAAATTCTATTACTTCTATTACTAATAGGAAATAGGGAGAATGCTAATGTTACTAATGGATGGTATCTCAGAGGTTTACCTTAACCAGGCCAACTTTCATAAATTGTTTTGTCCAGGCTAATTAACCAACTGTAAGGAACAGTTTGTATTGGAGAAAGTGAGTCCAAATCCACTACCTGTGCATGTTGTGCAACTATAAAAACCATCTTCCCAAACAACCAACCAATCAAGCATCCACGGCTGGCCATTCACAAAGAAGAATACTTTTGAAAAATAAATAGTAGAGAGGGCCACAGATTTCTCTCTAACCTCTCTTCTCTCAGCGTTAGGCAGAAAAGCTCATTAATTTCTCAAAGAAGAACAATGGGAGGTGTCTGCCCTACTTTTCCAGGCTGGGGCTTTCATCTCTGGGGTGGGGCAGAGCCTTGCAGGAGGATCACAAGTTGAAGGGCTTGTACTCCACTGCTTCCCACAGCCACTCCACCACCACCTGACCCCAGAGGACCATCCTCAAAGAGCTCTGCCCCCATAAGGTCTGAAGATACTTCAGGCCTCAGTTTCCAATCTCCAAAGCTCCAGGCACAATAATAATATTAATATCTACCATTTAATCAACACCTTTCGCATGCCAGGAAGTGTGAGGTATTTAAACCCATCTTCTCTCACTGGTAAAACAATTATGAAACAGATTTAACTGCCTCTGTTTTATGAATAAGCATAACAAAACCGAGGCTTCCTGAGGCCATCCAAGCACCAAGGTAGAGTAAATGGTGGAGCTGGGGCTCAAAACCAATCTGCTGATCCCTGAGCCGGAGCCCCGTCCGCTACCCTGCAGTACCTTCTAGGAGAGGCCTGGCAGACTCACTCACAGTTAACACCATCTGTGCAGTGATCATAGCTGCCCAGGCCCGGAGAGCCTTCCCCACCCTCCCCAGGCCTCACAGTGTAGAGCTGGGCTGGGCCCAAGTTCCTTCATAGCAGCTTTCCCCACCTCCTGGGGATCTAATGACAAGAAGAAGTCATCAAGCACAGGATATGGCAAAGCAGCCATCAGGCACTGGTCAGGGGTAGGGTGGGGAGCAGCATTAACTAATGCCCTGTTCTGAGAGAGAGTGCCAAAGCTCTGAGTTTACGGCCAAACACTGGGGAGGAATGCTACTGAAGTTTCTCTCTAGATAGAGACATCCACAGTGTAATTATGACCACAGTATAATATAGATATCCACAATATAATCCACAATATACCCAAGTATAATATAACTCAAAAGCAATGTTGAAGGGTTATACAGAAAGGGTCCTCTGATGTTTATTATGCAAGTAAAGCTTAATCTTCTGAATTCTTTCCAATAAGACTTCAATTGCCTTTATGTTTTTTTTCAAACGCTGCTCCTAGCTGCACTACAGAACTGGCCCAGGTACCTAGACCTCCAACAGCCCTGGTTCTGCTGTACCCACCTGCAGTCTCTACCTGTCCATGAATCTTCTTTCATTAAGATGCCAAGTGACAAACGGTTTATTGGCCCAAATGGCCAACTGGAATTACACCAGGCTTTGCCTCAGTGAGTTTACTTTTCTTCTTCAGAAGGAAATGGTGATGCTCATAAGACTGCTTGGCAGTGCTGCATCTTAACAGAGCAAGAGCATCTTGTGAAGGACCACCTAGCACTACTAACCTTTTGTGGAGGGGGAGGGTGTTCAGGAAAAGGAGCCATAAACAACAGGTAATTTGTTAGATGGGTTTAGAAATGCCCCGAGTGATAGGAGGGAGGTTCCATAGAAGAGAAGGCAGGGCCGTGCTTAAAGAGGCACCTGAATTATTTCCATTTTAGGGACTGTCCTCTACTTTTCAGAGAAAGCTTTCTTTCAGCCCATCTGAAGGATTCTGAGATAATACCTGTTAAATCCAGTATTCACTTTCTGGCCTCACGTTTAAAGCCCTCTCACTGTCTTGTCCCAGTCTCACCTTCTACCGTTAATTCGTATTCTCCCATACACAACCTCTGGAGGCCTGGTGGTACAGTGGTTAAAAGTTTGGCTGCTAACCAAAAGGCTGGCAGTTTGAATCCACCAGGCACTCCTTGGAAACCCTCTGGGGCAGTTCTACTCTGTCCTATAGGGTCGCTATGAGTCAGAATCAACTCAATAGAAACAGGTTTATACAAACTCTACGCTCTAGAGAAAGCAAATGACCTAAGCTCTCCCACCTCCATGGTTTTCTTTTTCTCATGCTTGTTTTCATAGCCCAAACCCTTTCTTCATTCCACTAGCTTCAATCTGGTCTTAAGCAAAACACTTGGTTCTTTAATTCCACACCAAATTCTACTTCTCTGGGATCTTTCCTGAAGCCTTCTTCTACCCTCTCACACCTCCTGCCCCTCTGCCACTTCAAAGCATATTGCACTTATCTTTAGCTTCCTCTTGAACAGCCTCATATTCTTAACCTGCCTTATCCTATAATTGACTGTGAATTAGTAAAACTCTGTTTTGAAAAACAAACCATGAGTGCACATTCCTACAGGGACCAAGAGCTGTCACCCTCATATGGATTCTTCCTCATGTTGCTTGGCATCTAGTTTTGGCTCACCAAATCTTCATTTATTAAACAGTGAAAATCATCTTTCACAAAGGATTCCTCTGACCCTGACTAACAGGGTCCTAAGCCTCATCTTATCTGGAGATAACCATGCTGGAGGAATTTGCCCCCGCCCTGTTCCTACACTGGGTTTGGTTTACATAACTTTGCAGCTGCAACCCAAATAGAGTTGGGTAGGGCATTTAGTCTACAGATTGCTTAAATGGACATGTCAGCTGTACTGTTCCCCTCCTTGTGGAGAGCTAAATTCATCTCTTGAAAATGTTCCTGGGAGACAGACCCAGTCCACTTCAAAGGCAGCTTCCTCCCAGCAAGAAGCTTGCAAGGGTAGCACTTTAACATTCCCTGAGTGTTTACCACCCTTTGAGAAACACATTCTTCTGCCTAATAAGACATGTCACAGGTCACTGAAAAATATTTGAGTAAACATATTTCCAACCATTTTATAACAATGGTAATGAAAGGAACCTGGATTTCACACTCCAAATGCCTTCTCCTCACTGATGTCTCTTTGTTTCCTGAGTCTCTTAGCCCACTGCCTCACCAACCTGGGAATGTGGGATGGGCCAGACATTTCTGCTGGGAGAGGCACTTGGTCGTCCAGGGGAACACAGTAAGAACAGTCATGGAGAAGTGAGGAAGAAAAAAGTCCCTTTTTGCCCTTCTTTCAACAGCTTTTCCCAAAACCCTCCTCTTCCATAGCTAACGCGGATCTTCCTCCTTCCTTCTGAAGGACTCATAGGAAGTACTCTAACTCTTCTTAAGCATCTTCAGGGTGACCATGACTCTCTCAATGGGGCTAATGGGATGCAAATATTTTCAAACAGCATGTCATTTCCAGGAACTGCCCCTCCCTCAGCCCTGCTCAGCTGGGGCATCCACCCTTAAGTTTAACCATTAATGGATCTGTCCTCCGTGACCGGGGCAGTAAGATCCCCTGCCCCGACTACTTTTGCTTGCCTCCCTCACAGTTGTTAGAAACACACTGGTCATGGTGCAAAGGAACCAGGGCAACCCTGGCCCTGATCCCAGTCCCAGGAGTTGGCACACTGGGGACCTGTGGTGGGCTGCAGCCAGCCCAGCTATCTGTGACATCACGTCGGCCTTACCTCATCCCACTCTGAGGCAAAGGAGGGCGACTTTTCCAGCCTCTTCTTCCCAATACTGCAGTTGGACAAGGACTCACTCCGGCTCCCCATTGTGGCGTCCTCTGTGGGTGAGCAGGTCAGGAGATCAGAGTCTGACTTGGACAAGCTACGGCTGAGTTTGAGTTCAGCTCTGGGTTTGCTGGTAGGAGGGGCTCGGCTCCTGGCCCCGCTCCGGTCTCCTTCTTCCTCAGCACCACCAGGGTGCGGAGATGTTGTATGAGTCAAAGTTCCGGGGTGCGACTGGCTGTTGGTGGTGGGCAGGCCTGGAGGGTAGCCCACTCTCCTACTGTGGTCCAGGGCACTGGGCTGGGAGGCTCCAGGAGTGTGCACGCCCATCTCCTCCAGCTGCATGCTGGCCTCGTGGCAGGCACCCTGCTGCGGGGACTCTTCTGGATTGCCCTGGCCAGTGGCAGAGAGCAGCTGGAAAGGGTCCTGCCCAACCTCACACACTGGGGAGGAGCCGTGGAGGAGACCTGAGAACTGCTCTGGGACCTGCCCGTCCTGTCCCTCCGCAGAGTCCTGGCTCCGGCTGCTGCTGCTCTGCCTGTGGTCTTGGAGTGGACGGAGAGACAGAGAAATAAAAAATTAAACGTGGCAAAAATCAACAAAGTTCCAATGCAGCGAGTGTATGGCAAGGCGGAGGGATTCAAAAACAGAGAAAGACAGAGAAGTTGGACAGGCTAGGGAGGGGAGAGACGGACACAGAGAGAGAGGGGAAGGAAGAAAACAGTTTCGTATTGTTCTTAATGTTCAATTTGTACCCAAAGTGGGAGCATTTATGAAATTCCAAACACTGGCCTGATTAATGCTATCTGGCAGCCTTCCCTGTTGTTAGATTTCTGTTAACAGTAACGACCAGACCTTGCTATATAAGGTGAGGAGTGCTAACTATATCCTACAGAAAGGACAGCAGAGAGGAGAGAGCGAGTGAACAAGAATACAAGTGGAGAGCTAGAGTGAGAGCCAGAGAGCCAGCCAGCAAGCACGAGCAGGCGAGACTCACTCCCGGAACATCTGATACATTTCCATAAAGGCCAAAGTGTTATTTAGAGCCACCCGCCCTCCCTTCCTTTGGCAAGCAGCAACAGGGAAAAACAAAAATGGAGGTCATGATCCACAACCTGCAACTTCTGGAATTCCTCTACTGAAAGTGCAAAACAAAACAGCAGAGAAATCACTGCTTCCTTCCTCAGAGGGGGACTATTCAAAGTTCCACGCCTCATCCTTCCTTCCTCAGGGAGCAGACTTTTCTTTCTTTTTTTTTTTTTTTTGAGAATGTGCACATCTCACTCCTTCCAAAGCCTCCCAGCTGCTCATATTTGTTTAAGTTTAACCTTAGTTGATCCACTGAAAGGAAAATGGTCTAATTTGTCAATGCTAAGAGACAGATGCAGTTCTTTCAAGACCTCCCTAACATCCCAGAAATCTGACACGACTGGCTCAGGAGGCCAACTACTACTGTACACTCACACAAGATATCAAATACCTCTGCCCTGAAGCAGCATAAATAACTGACCAAATCAGAGTCCAACACCAACACTACAGGGACACCCAGGGGCTTTCCCCGCATGAACTCAGTCCCTTTAAAGATTCTAACCCACGTCATCAGGGTACATACACACTTTGTTCAGCACCAGCTTACATTCTAAAGCTACTACTCAACTTTATTTTCTCTGTAAGTGTGAATCTGTGGTACATACACCAAATGTTTCCCCAGTCTGCCCAAAGCTCCCAAGAACTATTCATGAGATCAGAGAGTCTTAGAACTGAAAGGATTGAGCTCAATTATTCTTACAGATGAGAAATCTAAGGCCCACAGGGCTTTAGTGGTTTGTCCAAGGGTAGCAGGAAAAAAGACTTTAACTTAGGTGTCTGAGACCTGGTTCTGGTCCTGGCTGTGCTGCTCTCTAGCTGTGTGGCCTTGGCAGTGGCTTCATCTTACTGGGCCTCAGTTTCCACAATAAGTGGGTTGGACTGCATAATCCTTAAAACCCCTTCTATGTTATGATAGTGAGGAGATTCCAAGTTTCCACCATATCATGATGTCAAACATCCCCCCCTCAGGAGGTGCTGCAGTGCTCTGCCTGGGTGCCTCTCCTGTTGCTGCCTGGATAGCATTAACTCTCCCTCATCATCATGCCTGCAGCCCCAAGGCCCCTTCTAGAAGACCAGATCCACAAGAGAAAACGGTAGTCAAGTGAGGAAGGGAGCAGAATGAGTAGCACTTCACAGAGATGATGTACTAAACAGTCTCCCCGCCTATGCACGATGCTAGTGTCCCACAACATTGGTTCTTCCCAGACAGCCTTTAAGGAAGGATTCTAACAACCAGCTCTCCTCGAAGTTCCAGCCTGTTTCCCCGAAGTTCCAGCAGGGACACAGCCCTATTAACCCCACCCTCTTAAGAAGAGTGGTTCAGTCTCCACAGTCTGTTCAGCTTTTGGCAAGTCTACAGAAGCTGCAGAGCGGCAGCCAATTAGCTCCATTTTATGGCTCTGGTTACTTATCCTCAGGAGCCCGGAAGTATGAACTTTGGCTTCTCCTTCCTCTATACTTGACCACTTCAGGATTTTCATGCCCCCAGCTCACAAACCCCACACCCCAAAGGTCAGGTCCAAGCACTGAACAACTTGAACCATTTCTCTAGTGAAGAAGAAATGCTGAGTTCATAGGAGTTCCATACAGCTTAACTCAGGCCCTGGGAAGTTATGACTTCATGGCTGTGAATATCACATATGACAACTGGCAGCTGGAACAAAGCTGTCGTGTGGTGTTGCATCGTGGGAACACAAGGAAGATGTCACATGACCATATTAGAGTGGGATAAGCCAAAGCACTTCCCCGGAGAGGCTGATGGAGTCAATTAGGCTGCAAAATTTGCCACCTCTGGGACTATATTCTAATTTCCTACCGATTCTGGTCTGTAGAGGCCAAGGTGCAATGTCCCTCTGACTGTATTTGAATGCAAGAATACTTTGGTAATAGGAACACAGGCTCCCACTCCTTTGCATTAGCTTCCAGCTTCTTATTTAACAATTGTTTTGGGGGAAAAAAACAACAGCAGAAGAAAAACACCACAGCCCAGAATGACAAACCAGCCTGGCTCATGCTGCCTGGGTGGAGCCCAGAACCCAGGCCACAGAGAATGTTCTGACTCCTGCTGTGGGAGCCGACAATGGAGGCCCTGTTCAACAGCCACCCATTCATGCCAGCCATCAGTGAAGAAAGTAAGATGCCAAGAGCTCCATACCAGACTGATGCCAGGGGGAAGGAAGTGGGCAGAAGGAAAGAGTGGAAATATATGGAAGAAGGACGGGGAGAGGAGAATTTCTGAGGGTCATAATCTCATTACAGAAACCACAATCCACCAACACTGTATGAAGTATAAGAAATCATGAAAAGGGACATAATTCCTGTAATTATACAGCCTACTCAGGGAGTTCCTTAGGAAAGACATCTTGATATCTGAAAAGCTTCTCAAGATCTAAGAACCTCAGGAATTTTTTTTTTATGAAAATATACACATGAAAACATGCTCCCATTTAACAATTTTTACACATATTGTTCACTGACATTAGTTACATTCTTCATATTGTGTCAAACTTCTCGTTATTTCTGCTCTAGTTGTTTTATTCCCATCAGTTTAGACTCACTGCCTTCCAAACTTCTCATTTATGCTTTAGAGTTACTGTTGTCCCTTTGGCCTCATACAGATATTTTTTAAAAAGAACGTTAATACACAAGGGTGGCATTCTTTACTTTTTGAGCTAAACTGTTTTTTAGTTTAGAGATGACTGAAGGAATAGTTTTGGTTCAAGGTTTGAAGTGTATCTCAGGGCAATAGGTCCAGCAAGTCTGGATTCTTTAGAAATCTGAAGTTCTGTTCCACATTTTTTCCCCTTTCTATTAGGATCCATCTATTGTAGCCCTAATCAAAATGTTTGGTAATGGTAGCCAGGCACCATCCAGTTCTTCTGGTCTCAGAACCTCAGGATTTTAATAGGCTGGCGCTTTCCTTCCCATCAAAAACTATATTCAAGTTTCCTAGAAAGATTTCCTGGGAAATCAATGCGTAGAGAAAGATCTACTCAATGGTTCCTACCTTCTGCAAAGTCAGGACATCAGGTCTCTTAGGGACCAGGTGTTACCAAACAATGTGCTGGTTAAGAGTCAGATCTTCAGTATATTACTTAACTTTTCTGTGCCTCAGTATCCTCATCTGTAATTTGGGGATCTTAATAGTACTTATTTCACAGAATTGTGACAATTAAATTATATGTGTTAAGCATCTAGAACCAGGCCTGGCACAAGCCCAGCTCTCAAAAGATGTTGTTATTATCCTCCACAGAGGATCCATTACAACAGACTTTGCTCACAGATAAGACAAACTACTCCCTATTTCTCCCTTTTTCACAGTTTTGTCACAAGGATCATCAAAGACAATGCATATGAAAGTACTTTGAAAAACACATAAGTTTTACACAAATATCCATTATCTTCATCATCCATACAATTCTTGACAGCAGGAGGAAGGGAAGGAAGGTAATATGGTGAGAAGGCTGAAGTGAGAAACTCTGAGACAGGTCCCAGAACTATCATTGTAACCACCCATTCCATCCATAAGTGTGTACATAGTGTCTGCTCTCACGGGACACTCAGGAGATATAAAGATGCAGACATCAAGATTACTTCAATGGGCTTACCAGCTATGGGAAGAGACTGGCATGTACAGAGATAATGAGAATTCAGACAAAAATTATCAGATGCTTTAAGAAACTTCCTTGTGAGAAGCTGACTTGAACTGTAAATTTTCACTTAAAGCACAATTAAAATATATATCTACATATATATATGAGAATGGAAAAAAAAAAGATTACAATCAAGAAAACCCTATGGGGCAGTTCTACTGTGTAATACAGAATCACCATGAGTGGAAATCCACTCGATGGCACCTAACAACAACACAATAACTTCCCAGGTCATCTTTGTTCTTCTATGAAATCTGTATTTATTGTGAAATAAAACACACTCAAACAACAGTGAAAAAAGAAAACTCTCAGGGTAATGCATGGTGAACAGGAAGGAATACATGATTACTTGGAACCAGGGGCTTTTCAGAAGAGGTGGCTTTTGAGCTGGGTGCTGAAGGAAAAGCAAGACCTTGACAGGCTTAAAGAGAAGTGGAAATACATTAGAAAAGGCAGACACATGAACCTCGTGCCCAGGGAGCACCCGTCCTTCTGATGGGAAGCATTGTGCTCCCACCTGCAGAACTACACAGCTTCCAATACTCCTCACACACTGCCCTCAGCACTCCTCACAATCTGCCCCTCTAGAAGAGCAACAAGGAGCTAATCAGACACAGGGGAGGGCTGTTCCTTGCTCTCTCCATACAGCAAGGCCAGCTGCTCTACTGACTAGGACACACTAGTGTGCTAACTCCTAGTCCCTTGAACTTTCAATCTTCATTCTGTGTGTTCATTTTCCTTTTACCCTGCAAACTGCTGGAGCAAGGGGTCTTCTGTGCTGCATTTGAATTACCATGATGATC